TCTACATCAGAAAGGTGACGCCTCAGTCCGCAAATAATCGAGTGCAACTAACGGGAAGGATAACGTTCCCCAGAAGAATTGTTTACTTCCTGAACGAACTTCGACAGCCAGTAGTTGAGACTGCATGCAGGCATATCTGTAATGGCCGTTTCCAAAGTTTGCACTCTTTCTTCAAAGTCTTTCGTGGTAAAAAGACCGCCGGGTTCCAAAGTACAGGACTTCACTAATGGATGCGGTTTCCATTCCTCGAAAACCTTGCACGACCATTTGGCTTTATAAGCTGTTGATTTCGGTACTGCATTATCAACTCTTTTCTTCTCATCCTGCACACTTTTCGGCTACCGAAATCTCTCGAACGACTTTCTTGCGATATACATCCTGACTGAACGACAACTTGTAAATGCTGGCAACCTCAGCAACTTTCACATCTCAGAATAAATTAAATCGCACCATAAATGCAAATTAATTACGCCGGTAAAAAATATCATTGATATTGAAATNTCTCTCGAACGACTTTCTTGCGATATACATCCTGACTGAACGACAACTTGTAAATGCTGGCAACCCCAGCAACTTTCACATCTCAGAACAAATTAAATCGCACCATAAATGCAAATTAATTACGCCGGTAAAAAATATCATTGATATTGAAATTATCGAGGAAGGGATGTTAGACAGCAAACAATTCTAATTGGAAGTCTTTGTTTATTATTTCTTTAAGAGTGATCATGAGAAGTTATTTCCAAAACTCATGCTTCGTGTTTCATCGGGGTATCCAAACACCTCGATGAAACACTCGCTCTCGTTTTGGAAATAGTACATAGAACAGACTGAGGAATAACTCAGCGTTGTTCAATTTGCATTTTGTTTACACCATCATAAGGCTCATAAAATCTGAATAATTTTAAATATCCCACCAAATCACAGGCTAACCAAAATCACCTCTTACTAGATTTGTTTTCATTCTCGGCATGCTGGGATAAATGGAAACAGATAGTTCGTTGATTGCAGGCATCAGCTTTGTTATTTAGTTGGCAGCGAAATTTGAATGTTCCATGATGTGACGAAGATAATTCACTGTTTTTGTTCTTCCAAAGGCATCTTCTAAAGTGTTAATATAAGTTTTATTTTCATTGTATTTTTGTTATCTACCTTATGTTATTCTACGTAAATGACTCCGTTGTTTTAATGAAAAAAAAAAAACCGCTATTTCTCCACGACTTATATGTTATGCGACCATTATTTCGGCTTTCCACCATTGCACAAAAAGCCAACAAAGTGCTTCGAAGGTGGCGTGTCCTTGCCTTTTATAGGATCACTCCGTGTTTAAGTTTGTTGTTGATAGGGTTTTTAACAAATAGAGTTGAATATAGTTGTTAATAAATATATGCATTTCACGGAGAGTTAAACAAATGTTTATACCACTTCCCCTCACTAGTTCCTTTGAGGAAGTGCTTTGATAGGGCAAAAAAGAAATTATTGATCATTTGCTTAATCCTCTTGACATGTTTGCCTGCTAAAGTAAACTACTGTAAACACTTGTTGTAAGGGCCATAGGTTTCCTTGTGTCATGAAAAATGCGCATGATTGTTGTGCATTTGATTAATGCAACAATACAGACTGACTAAACCACACGTTGTATATGTAGGCAATATATTACAGCTTGTGTTCTTCCCTCAGCCCAGGAATTTGTTTAGGTAATGACATGATTCTGAGTGCAATTTGGAATTAATAAAGCACAAGCAAATTTTTCAAAGGCTAACAAAATTTGCACGTTAGCCCATAGGGCAAGTGTAATTGCACTTTTTACACCAGTGTTACACTTGAACCCTGCTGCTCTTAGCCAATCAGATTCAAGTAATTTCTTCAGTTGTATTTGATTAGCAAAAAAGCTCTTACTGGTGATTCGTTAAAGCTTGTTGCATTCCACATTTAAAAACATTGTGAATGATGATGCCAAGTTGCAATTTACTGTTCGGGACTATGTTAACTAAATTTAAATACAATGCATAAAAACAGGAGCCATAATCGGGGACGGAGACCGTAAGTCTTGGGATCCGCGCGCACCTATGATATGGG